TAAAATTATTTATTAAAGTGAGAGAGATGGATCTATGATAATGGAGTCAGCTTTTCGTCGTATTGACTCTTCATTGCTCTGAAAGTGGCGTTTGTGTTCGACGCGCCGGGTTGAAGTGGGTCCATGGGGATCTGAGGATAGCTAATAGAAATGCGACACGTCAACGAATCTTAGCCGAATCGTTGAAATTGTGGAGAAGTGGGACCAATAATGTAAATGTGCATTTATCGTTTCCATGTTTCACAGACTTTCACAAAAGGAATAACGCAAAAAAAAGCTCAGATTTCTTTTTCCCCAAAACGCAAGTTCGGAACTTTTTTCTCCCGGCAAGCTTATTTACGCTTGATTAATTTTTTAATTGGTAAATACAAAAAATATTTACAGACTTTTTGAAATGTAGATTATTCTACATAAGACGATACAAAAATATAAGTGAAATTACACCATCCCCATAGTTTATGAGACATATATCTGCATTTCGATGAACTTTTAACGTATGTTAAAACCTTTGATATTAATTAAACATTTTCTTATAGATATATTCATATTCATATGTAACTGACTGCTATAATAAATCATGTGGTCCACTGAGATTTATTTGGGAACAGAAGCATGTGTCCAGTGTCCAAATCCGATCTCTAAAGCAAGGACTGTCGGTGTGGCAATATAAATCAATTTTGGGGAAATATAGTCCACTCGATTGCTATCGTCGATCGAATTCGAACCCTTTTATAGATTCGATTAAGAAAGGATTTTATTGAAGTTAATTTCAGCCACTGAATTATGTTGTCTGCCAAAATTTGGTCGTTAATCCTTGTAAACATCTAGTGAACAAAATCATTTTTTCTTAACAACATGCATTTACATTGGCTTCAATATCCGAATAGCATCACAATAATTAAACTTGTACAAATAGTTATGTAATTGTGGTGAAAATGAGAACTTGGTTTACAAATGAAACTTAGACTTATACAGGAGTTTACAAGGGATGCAATAATAAATTTCAAAATAACAATACATTTGCGGAATGTTTTGGATAGTACCATTCACAAAATCTGTGTCCAATAAATTTCAATAGTGAAATTTTATCTCCATCAAGTGAACATTGGTCTTTATGACTACAGAAAATGACACTCATTCTTCACTCTGTGGTTTTGCTGAGTATTTTGATAGTAGATCATGACCAAAGATTTGTATCAAAGTGACCGCACTCAAAGATTTGTAACATTGTTTTTTGTTGAGATTTGTATTTTTGTGTGTAAG